GTCGGTCACGCTGAGTGTAGCGACGGTAAGTGTGCTATGGGAATAAATAGTATTTATTTTTCATTTAAAACGTGCTGTGAAAATCAACAGTAAATCATTGATGTGAGAAACGTGTAAGCGGCAACAAGTTCAAGTTTCGCGACGCTACATATTTGCCTGCCAGACACAAAAATAAGTACATACATATATACGTTTAAACATAGTTCATTAATTCGAACATATGTATGAATACCCGGGCAAAAAATAAAATACAAATCGAGGAAAGAAGTGAGCGTAAAACCGAAAGATATAATATACCTACATAAATCATACATTTATATCGCCAAAAACGTAATTTGAACACATTGAGTCCAGACTATGGAGTAGCGCGATATCGCTACGATATTTGGACATTTCCATTCTTCATGGGTACTCGGTAGATTTTGTGGCAGTGTATATGGAAAGAATGCTTGATTGTGAAATGATTTCGTGCAATATTTAAGTAAATACTTATGTATATATGTATCTACAAACGTATGTTCGAACCTGGATACCTACATATCTTTGCACATATGTATGTAGGTATGTTTGTCTGCTTTGTTGTTGTTTTTTTTTTTCAAGTAAAGCGATAAGCTCGTCATTGTGCGGGCCAATGTGCCGGCTTTGTTGAATGGAATTTACTTCAGGGCGGCATATTTACGAAATACGATATTTCAAAGAAGCGGTTATGCTATACCCATCGAGCAGTGAGTGTGGTGTTAAAGTGACTAACTAAGCAAGACTAGATAGACTGACTAAAAGAGTGACTAAGTGCCATTGGTAATAAATGTTTACACCTTAAGTGAAAAGTGTTGGTTTTCATGAGTGAAGGAATGTTTGTGTTAAGTACATTTGGATTTGTCGACTGACAATAAGGGTTGCCAACTAGCCTTAGCTATGAGGTGTCATATTGAGGATAAAAAAGTGCCGAAACGTGCCAAACAGAAAAAAGTGCCAATAAATGTGCCATTCTTTTTAATCAATGATTCCTATGTAGCAATAAAATAAGAACCAAATTTTTAAAACAAAAGTGCAATGACAAATATAAGATAAACCAGTTGAAGAAACTTTAGAAATTAAAAAATTCTAGTTGACAAAAAGAAGTATACGCAAAGGTTTTCACAAAAATTTATTAAAATGTAATTTATGTGTTTGCAAAAGTGCCATTTTGGCGCCTTGTGCCAAATTGAAAGATTTGCTGCCAATTGAAGTAAAATAGGGCCAAAAATGGCACAGTTTTAGCCAAGTTTGCAGCCCTGCTGCCAATGAGTGCAAGTAGTGAGTGGTGAAATGGGAAAAGCAACAATTGCTCGGCTTAATGCGAATGACCTACTAAGTAGCTGTGTTTAAGCAAATAATGTAAACAGAAATGTACGAAAACATGTGTTACTGTGGAATTCGAATTGAAGACCATGTTTTTTTTGGTAGCACTGAACACCGAACAACCAACTAACTTTGGTAGCTAACTAAAATATCTTATCTGAGTGGCTATTATTGACTTCAGGATTAACTGGCTTAAAAATGTGCGATTCCACGTGAATGAATCAAGTTAGGCATTTTTTTTCGATCTCGCTTAACCCTCACGCCGTGTTTGCAAAAAATTACGCTATATCATATAAATTTTTAGGCAGAATTAAATATTTGATTTTTTTTACACTGTTTTACTGTTAATTCATTAATTTTAAGATTTTCACAAAGAAGTTATCATTTTTGTTATTTAATACGTAAAATTTAGAAGCAAAATACTAATGAAAAGTTTTCCCCTCTCTTTGGTTGAGTAAATAAGTTCCTTGGGTAACTCCGGCTTATTTGATCTAATAGTACCAACTATGGTTGTGTTCCGCAAAACCAGTTCTTTGACCAATGGAATGCTGGTGAAAATTTATCCATTGTTATATTATAACCTTGATTGAGATATTGCTGGGCGAGGCGATGAACTAAATCAAAAGCAACATTTTCCATACGCTCTTGGCCAGGCTGTGTGCCTACGTAAATTTCACCGACCAACGGATAGTTTGTCTCTGCGTATCAATCTCAAGTGATAAAATGCTCTTGAAAGCATCAGCTTTTTTATAAAATATTTCTGCACATGACGGCACAGTACTTTTTCGCAAATTTTTTGCATAGCACAAAATTCGAAATTTTAACGAATAACTCCAAGAAAATATACTATATTCCGAGTAATAAAAGATTCTCCAAGTTTTCTTATTTATAATATTTACCTGATTTAAATAAATTTAATTGCCCAACGTTGCGTTATATAATTCAACACTTTTCACTCTTTACTCAAACTACTATCAAATTTAACTGCCGATTATTTGATTCCTCGTGCCCAACGTTGAGGTTTATTATTCAACACTTTTCACTATTTACTCAAACCATTTTCAAATGTAACTGCTGATTGTTTGCAAATCGGTGCACAATAAGGCAATTTTGGCAACAAAGCATACCAGAAATGGTAATATGTGTATAATCACGCAGATTGTCTAATTAAAATGTAAAAAAAAACTTAAAGTCCAGAATGCCATTACTCGACCAATAAGAGAAATACGTTAAATTTAAATTCAAAAATCATTTGGGGCACTGAATGCCCCAATCACGGGTTGAGGGTTAAACTTTAGGCATCAGTGTTGCTAATAATTGGTGATTTTGGCAAACATATTTTCCCATTTAGTCCAATATTTTCCGAAAGGAAAGGGGAAATGTTTCGTGGTTTAACGCTACGCCGCATATTTCAATACATTTTTTCTTAAATAACTGAATGCAAAAAAATTCTGATAGGTATCTGCTTCGTTAGATTTTTTCATGCCCTTCCGATTGATGATATGCAAATTTGTGACATAAATACATACATATGTATTTATGTAAAAAAATTAAGTGAAAAATAAATTTGAGTTTTTTGAGTGGACAAAATTTTTTATATTTTTTATTTTTATTTTTAACGAAAGCTCAGGTTTTTCCTATAAAGACATATGGGCCTACCGCGCGACCTAATGGTAGTGGTTAGGGATGTTGCGATACTACTGATATAATCTTGGTATCGATATTTTTGTTTCGATACTGTATCGGTATTTCGTACTACGGTGAATATACTATTGATACCCATATGTGAATTTCCTTTCGACATATTATATTTATTTATTCCAATATGTGCGTTTCTTGATTTCTGATATAACTTCACAGGTATGGCGCTAAGCTCTTTTCGTATTCTGATGAAATCGAGTTTTATTTTTATTTTTTTTTTTATTACAAAGAGATACATTAACGCTCTCTGCATTTTACAGGGTTGAGGCTATAATTGCGTGAATGCTTGCGTTTCGCCAACGTTTAAATTTAGAAAATAACTTAGCATTTTATATTCTAAATTAGAAAAATCTTGAAGGTGAAGATGAAGGTTTACAAGAAATTTAATTTACTTCTTACAAACCAATAGATGCATCTACAAATTGCTTGATTTTGGATGCCAATGAATTCGGAAATGAATTACGTGAACAGTTGCGGAAGTTTCTATGTAAAATAGGGAAATCAGAAGCTTTTATTTCTGCAAATTTAAATGATGATAGTGTCCACCGTCATGAATACAAGAAATTGAGGTCCAAGGTAAAGAAATTGAGGAAATTAAGCTATTTAAGTAGATTGTTGTTTAACTTCAAAAATTCATTTTAAGATCACATATTTAATTTACACTTAATTGACCAAAATGGCTATTTAAATATGAGATTTGAACCCTGCATTTGTACCAAACAGCAATCAGTTGTTTAGCAGAAAATGTAAACAAACAAACAAGTGCAACAACATTTTCGAGGAATAAGCAACAGTGTTGCCATTTGTTTGGCATAAATTAATTAATTAATTAAATAAAGTTGATCTGAAACCCAACGAAAGCTAAATGGCATTTACATAACAATCGAAAATTAAACTTAAGTGCCATTTGAATTTTCATCCTGAATTGGCCCTAATAGTCAACTACTTCAAAAAAAAAGGTTTACATGAAACGGTGTATTATTTCACGGATGACGGAGGTCAGCTTTTCAAACCTAAAAGCAATTTCGCTAACATCTTAGCGCATCCGACTGCTAATGCTAAGTGACCATGTCAACGTTCCCCCGAACGTGTAAGCCTTTTACTAAAGAAAAATTATTCTTCTACAGAAAGTGAGTACTTCCCGAAAAATAACAAACTTCAAAAACGCTACACAAAATGAAACAGTTAAAATCCTTGGATTAAGTAATAACTCAAATATTACACATTTTAACTTTTTCGGCCTAATCCCTTATAATATATAGAAACTAAATATATTTTATGCCTTAAAGATTTTACATTCCATATAGTTAAAATTTTAATAACAATAGTCGATTGGCGTTGATACAATTTATTCGTTTTTGCCCAAAATAACCATCTATGAGTACTGCTAAGGTTCCAAGATTGAGCGTGATCGCAGAAAAAAATATTTATCTTGAACACTCACCGTGGAATCGCTCATATGTAGAAACTAGGGTGATTGGCTGTGGTTGTGGCGTATTATTGCTGATGTAGCTAGCGAAATAGCTTGTGGCTGTGGTACTACATTCTGGTTAGCCAGTACATCTCGTGAGTGCCTTTGTAGGAGCCTGGAATGAAGAATAATAGTTGCGATCCCGTAAGAGTCCCGACTAGTCAGAATCAGTCAGATTTTACTAGAAATCGATCCCGTACTCGGTTCTCTGGCTATTGAGAGGACAAAAACGAGAGTAAATACGGTTATCTCTCTGTCAGAAGTTACCAGTTTTAGTCCGAAGATTTTTTGCTGGTAAATTCTGGTAAATGTTTCAAACGATTAGCTGTAGTGTGTTTGACAACCAAATTGTAAACAAAAGAAAATCGCGCTCTGCTAATTCACGTTTAAAAGTAGTTAATTACTTGTTTAAGTGGATTCTAATGAATTTGAAAGTATTTTTCGTTATTTACGTACAAAATAAGCAAAAAATTACAACCAAATTTAATTTAAAAATAATTTGCTATAACTCACTAATTTGATAAGTAGTCTCTCTTAAGTTTTCTGCTCCAAATGTTCACAAATTGGCAAATTTTTAAACTTTTGTTTATTTAATGAAAAATTAGCCACCCTAATGATGAAATGCCTTCGTAAACGAACGCCGCATTGATCACCCATCCTGTTTGCACAACTTGCTCTTTTACTCAAGAATTCCTTCGTTACCATGTCGCTTTCGTCATCTATTATTTTGTTTATTTTTGTTTCGGCATTGGCTTTTATTTATGAGCGCGGTTTGTTTTTATTTTGGTTACTGTTTCCGATATCTGTTATTTATTATTTTTGCGTTCGAATTTCGATCGCTGTGACGCTACAATACAGTTTTCAACCATGTTTGAAAGTACTAAAGGGGATTAGTTGTATGTATGTATATATGAATTGGCTGAATAGTGCGAATACATACATATGTAAATGTACACCATACATACTTA